TCAATGGTAGAAAATGCCAGCAGCCATTGCACACAGCTCATAACTCTAGTAGGCTGATGTGTAGGGTGGATTCTACTAAGGACTACCTGCCCTGCACGGTATGGATCTGAAGGTGTGCTCCCCAATCAGTTAGGGAGGTGTTGGTTGTTAGTATCAGAAACAATACTGGTTGAAGGAAAGGGTCCCCGGCACAGATATTTTTGGGTTGTGGCCATCAGAGTAGCGAGTCCTTTATTTTGATAGGCATGGATAGGAGTTTGTGAAGGGTGTCTCTGTGAGATACATAGACTATGCCCTCAAATGGTAGGTCTTCAACAATAGTTTGTGCTTCCTTAGGGAGTCTGAATAGGTGTAGCCATGATGCTCATCTCATCACTATGGCTGTCATGATGGAATGGGCAGGTATATCAGCAGAGCCCAAGGATGCTTGTAAAGCTATACAAGCCAACAGCTGTCTTTCAGATATGAGTGCCTGGAGTTGCTCTTCCTTGTCGGGAAGATCCTGGCAGAATTCCGGTATCTTAGTATACATAGTTGTATTTGACCATGAGAGCCTCATAACTGGAGATTTGGAACTGAAGTGTGACACAGGAATAAGCCTTGCAACTAAATAGTGCCAGTCACTTCCAGTCCCTGTCATAAGGGGTTGACCTTGAGTGGTATTTGCGTCCCTTCTCATGAACTGCATGGCAACCAGAGAGTTTGGAGTGAAGTGGGAAAAGAGAAATTCCATGTCCTTAGCAAGGATGTAATATTTCTTGTCCACCTGCTTGCAAGTTGACAGGATGGATCCTTGGCCGGGTCCAGGAGGGCCTCATTGATAGGGAGGGCTACCTTTGTCAGTGTTGAGGCATGCAGGATATTGAGCAGCTTGTGCTGTTGCTCTCTCACTTCCTCCAGAGGGATCTGGAGGAGGTCTGAGATCCTGCCAAACAGCTTCTGGAAATGTTTGAAATTGTCTGCTGACATAGGGGGTGGAGGCATGCTAGTCTCACTGAGGGAAGAGGAAGAAAAAATGGAGTGGTGGTGTAATCTCCTACTCCTATTCTTCTTCATGGTCCTCTATTGGGAGTGGATTGGCAGACTGATGAAGATGACAAGCGTGGGTGTCTCCAGCTCTGTTCTATGGGAGGCTTTGGGAACTGTGCTCCGTACATGGCCCATGGACCCCAGTATGGCCAATGTGGAGGGATTGGCACATATGGTTGCATCCATGGAGGTCTATAACAGGGCCCTGGTTCAGTTCTGGTTTGTGAATAATGAGGATGCGTAGAGGATGCTTTTTGTGCCTGTCCTGAATATGAGGGTGGGATGGAGTATTCCCCCTCCTCTTCCTCACTGGGGAAAGGTGGTGCTGTCCTCGAAGTGGAAAGGGAGCAGTGCTGTGACTCTGGAGAAAAGGCATGAGTGGAGGGATCTTGTGTCTGAGTAGCAGTGAATCAGGCATATCAGATACCATCACATCTTTAGGGTATCTGAACTCCTGTGAAGGAGGGAGGAGCATCATCAACACTGATGGTTGTAAAAAGAAAAGGAGTACTTGTGGCACCTTAGAGACTAACCAATTTATTTGAGCATGAGCTTTCGTGAGCTACAGCTCACTTCATCAGATGCATATCGTGGAAACTGCAGCAGACTTTATATACACACAGAGAATATGAGACAATACCTCCTCCCACCCCACTGTCCTGCTGGTAATAGCTTATCTAAAGTGATCAACAGGTGGGCCATTTCCAGCACAAATCCAGGTTTTCTCACCCTCCACCCCCCACACAAATTCACTCTCCTGCTGGTGCTAGCCCATCCAAAGTGACAACTCTTTACATAATCAAGTCGGGCTATTTCCTGCATAGATCCAGGTTTTCTCACATCCCCCCCACCCCCATACACACACAAACTCACTCTCCTGCTGGTAATAGCTCATCTAAACTGACCACTCTCCAAGTTTAAATCCAAGTTAAACCAGAAAATCTGGGGGGGGGGGGGTAGGAAAAAACAAGAGGAAACAGGCTACCTTGCATAATGACTTAGCCACTCCCAGTCTCTATTTAAGCCTAAATTAATAGTATCCAATTTGCAAATGAATTCCAATTCAGCAGTTTCTCGCTGGAGTCTGGATTTGAAGTTTTTTTGTTTTAAGATAGCGACCTTCATGTCTGTGATTGTGTGACCAGAGAGATTGAAGTGTTCTCCGACTGGTTTATGAATGTTATAATTCTTGACATCTGATTTGTGTCCATTTATTCTTTTACGTAGAGACTGTCCAGTTTGACCAATGTACATGGCAGAGGGGCATTGCTGGCACATGTTGTGTCGGTGCTGAGAGAGGTATGCATTCTTTGAAATGGCCAGCAGATGGAGTAGAGGGCTTACCCAGTGCCGAGGGTCTTGTCAGTGCAGGAAGTCGTGTTGGTGCAGAGGGTTTACTCGGTACCACAGGTTTGGTTGGGGCCGATTGGGTCGGTGCTAATAAAGATGGTGGTGGTGATGGTTTTGTTGGTGCTGCAGTGCCCAAAGTTGATTTGGTGGGGCGGTTGATATAATTTTTTTAAGGTCTCTCACTGCCTTGTGGTCACCTGTGTCTCTACCTGTTCAGAGTCCTTAGACTCTCTTTAGCTCTGGTACCAGAGGTACTCAGATGGTCACGGGAGCTACATCTCACCCTTGAAGATATAGAGACTACTGACCTTGCAGAAGATGGTGTTCTGTCAGGCAGTTCCTCAGAGGGCGATGTGGTAGCCGTTTCTTCCCGTGCAGGAAAGAGAGGATTTCCTCTTAGAAGGATACAGTAAGTGACAGTCACGCCAGGGGAAGTGCCTGTACTGAATGGATTCTGAGGCTGACCACGAGGCTCTCTCCATGAAAAGTCTCAGCCAGATGTCTCGGTCTTTTCGGGCCAGGGCAGCCAAGTTGTCAGTAAGCGCACTTCTGTGCGATGTGTCCTTCCCCAAGGCAGCAGATACACTATGGGTGGCTGTTGCTCACAGGGAAGACTGCATGGCATGAAAGGCACCTCTTAAACCCAGGTGATCTGAGCATAAGTATGAGGGAAAGAGCTTCATGATAGGGAAGGGCAGGAAAATGCAATCTAAAAAAAATTTTTTTTTGCCGGAAGAGGATGGTTAAAGGAAATGATTAACTACTAACCTAACAAATAAGGGTGCTATCTAATGACTCAGAGGATAGAAGGGCTCTGCTCTGGATTCCGTCCCAGACCAAAGGCGGTTGAGAAGGTTGGACCGCACAGCACTATATAGAGATGCCGCTCACAGTGCGAGAAGGGGAGGAGCACGGGTACAGTCCAATGGCCACTGCTACCGAAGATCTCCAATCCCAGGTGTAAAGGGTGCTGCTGCACCTGCAGTGGAACACCCATAGGGACATCATTTGAAGAACCCTGGGTTTGGCAGGGACCCTTCAGTCAGCAACGTGGCTGAGCGAGCCTGGCTGCTGGGGACAAGTTGAGGATGCTCCCACTGGCTCCACCTTCGTGAGGGATGGATGGCTGGGGAGGGCACTGTGCACAGCCTGCAAAGGAGGGTGGTGGGCTCCTAGCATGAACAGCGGAGACTGGAAGGGGGCAGGTCAGTGTTCTGTAGTGTGGGGGGTCCCCCAACCTCTCAGTGCAAAACAGCACATCAACACCCCACTGTTGGCAACAGAGATGGTGGGGACAACTCAGTGTACAAGGGGAGTCCCCGATAATCCCCACCACAAAATAGCAACACTCCTCCCCACACCACCTGCAAGCCAGACACTGAGGGAGGAAACCTTCCAGCTGTGCCTCTACTGCTGCTCTGACCCCAGCTTCCCCCCCTCAAAAAAATCCCTCTTCCAGACCCTTTCCCCAAACTGCCCTCTACACATGCTCTCCATGCAGGCTCTGTCAGGCATGCAAGTGGATGGAGCTATGTGCCCTGGAGCTACGCTGAAGGGCCAGAATTGGGAAGAGAGGAAAGATGCACCCAAGGTGTTGCTGCAAACAAGTGTATACTTTATAGCCTTCCGTTTTGAAAGAAAGTAATTTGAATTCTTGTCACTAATTTACAATTAAGGCACAAAATCTGAAACAGTACTGTAAATTGCTAACTTTAAACATACATCAATAAATTAATATTTTATTTTTCAAAAATGTGTCTTCTCTTCATTACATTTAGATTTGGTATATTTAAGTTACCTAACATTTTTGATGATACATTACTTATATATGCAGCATTCCTTAATGCCTCCAATTTTAGAAAACACTATTTTGTATTTAGATGAAATGTCACTAATTCTTGTGTCTTTTTTGTTTAGTTTAATCTACTTGTCTTCTGAAGTCTCTACACAAATTTGCACTGACCAAAGAAGCCAATCAACTGCAATCTTGTTTGCTGTCTACCAGTCAACAAGTCTGTGACTGTTTATAACAGTATCTAATATTTAGGCTTATGGAGCACCCCCATTTGTTGCAAACACAATATTGCAAAAGGTCTTTAAAATAATTTTTGGACAATACATTAGTGGGTTGACAGGATCCACATAAGATTGCTGGCTCAAACTCTAGCATAAGCAACACTAATCACGTAAGATATAAAAAGCATTACACACCTAGCTTCTAATGAATGTACTACCAGCATGTGATACCTGTTGCTAATAGAGCTTCTAGAATTAAATGCTAACATTGTTGCTAAAATTTAATGCCAAGTGTTCCTTGGGCTGGGGGGAGTGACGAACAGCCAAAGTGAGGGGGAGCGTGGAAAAGGGAAAGTGAGGAAGGTATAGAACAAGAAAGAGGAAACGAGAGAAAAAGGAAAAACAAACAACTAAACTGCAGGTAAACAAAGAGGAAAAGAATCTCAGTCACAGCAGGCATAATCAGCGGAGTTGTCACAACTTACACCAGGGCTGATTTTAACCTAATGTCTCAAACAAAAATAGTAGATCCAGAAGAGCTCAGACAAGTGCTGGAAAATAAAAGGAGTGATAGCGAAGGGCAGAATAATAACCTGATTATAAAAAAACTTCAAAATGATACTTTAATGTTGACTTTTTTGTTTGGGGTAATCAGTGGGTCACTGTCCCATTCCAACAAATTTCTGAAAAGAATCACTGAGTACAAGTATATCTTAGGAGTCAAAGGACTAAGAAACTCAGAAATTACTGTAGTCACACACTTTACTAAATGACCAATTATTTTTAATTTATTTACGTTAGCAGTCACTGGAAACAGTAATTTAACACAAAGAACTCAGTTCCTTGAATTTAAAGGTGAGCATTCATTCCAATCCAGTGCTTTATCAACTGGTATGCAATAGCTTGACACGGTGGCACAAAGAAAGAACGCTGGTTTCCTTTAATGAGAACGTCCACGACCTGCAATACATACAGATTTTGTTTTGGTAAATTAATCTTATAAACACATGCAATCTATCATGAACGTAGGAATTTCCATACAGGAGTGATCTAGTGGTCTTCTCCAAGTCCAGTATCATTTCTCTGACTGAGGCCATTACCAGATGCATCAGAGGAAGGTGCAAGAAACAAGAGGAAAGGCTTTTTAACCCATCAGGTAGCAAGTGAATTATGTCCTAAAGCCTGCAAGCTTATTATTCTAAAGTACCTGTGTACACTCTCACTAACCATATAAATGTCTAATCTTTTTGTGTAGCTGATTGCTAGGGCAGGAATCACAAGATTCCTGGTGTTACATTATCTTACAAGTTCTTTTTCTTTGTGTGTGAACAAGCTTCCAGTTTCGGAAGAAAATGTTGTGTTGTTTATTTTTCTGATACATATTTTTGGGGAGCTGTGGTAAGCAGTAATGGAATTTACTAATTAAATTCTTGAGGCAGAGTTGCTCCTGAAGAGCAGGTCTTGGTGTCTGCCTGAAATCCCTACAAAAAGGGATTACCCCACATGCTGTTTATGACATCTGTGTTTAAAACCTGCACATATTGTTTAAAATAAACAAGTTGCTCTAAGAATATACCCAGACTCTACGCCAGTGATTTCTTCTTTAATGGGAAACTGACTTTCAAAGTCCCAACATTTGCTACTGCTTGGAAAGATGGGTGACCCTATTAAGATCTTGGCCTAACGGTCCCTCGGGGCAATGAACTGCAGAGATTATATGGTGTGTTTATTAAAAGCATTTCCTTTTATCAATTTTAAAATTGCTGTCTATTTTTATGAATGGCTCCCTTGGTTTTGTATTATGAAAAACAGTAAAGAGGTGCTCCTAATTTACTTTCTCTATATCATTCATTAATTTATACCTCTATCGTGACCTCTCTTATTTGTATTTTCCTTAAACTGAACAATCCTTTTCAATCTTTCCTCACATGGAAGTCTTTTTGTTCTTCTAACCACTTCCATTGCTTGTCTTAGGATCACTTTCTATTCTGTTGTATCTTTTTTCTGGTGGAATGGCAGAACTTGAACACAGTCCAGTTGAGGGTGCATCTTTGATATATACCTATAGTGGCATTATAATATTTTTATTATTATTTTCTATTTCATTTTTTCTTCTACCATTTGGAGTGTGGGGCATTGACCTCCGATGAGGACTGAAGATATTTACACTGAATTCTCTGCAACAATGCCTTGGTCTTTTACAACGTGGTCACATTTAATTTAAAACCCAGAAATGTGTACATTAGGTAAAATTACTCCTCCCAATGTGCATTACCTTGCAATTACAGTAAGACATTCACATAGGACCATCACCTTATAAAATTGTGATTTACATGCTATGAACATATTTACACTATTTTAAAACTAGTTTCTGGTAGACTCTTTATAATTAAGGATAAGCTATTGTCATGGAAGTCATGGATTCTGTGACTTTCAGAAACTTCTGTGACATTTTCTGCTTCAGCCCCGTGCCCTAGGGTGGCGGGGGCCCCGGAGCTGTCAGCCCTCCCCCCCCCCATTATTTTTAGTAAAAGGTCACTGTTTACTTTTACTAAAAATAATTGTGACCAAAATTTTAACTTCATTTATAATACACAAATCTCTTACAACATGTAAAGCCAAATTCAGAACTGGTGTAAGGCTGTGAAACTTCACTGAAAGTTTACATTTGCCCCATAATCTTTCAATCATCTTTTGAGAAACCTCTACTGTATTTAAAGTATCCAGTTCATCCTACTTTCTGCTTTATGAAAATAAAATATGAGTCAGCAGTGTGCCCTTGTTGCCAAGAAGGCCAATGGCATTTTGGGATGTATAAGTAGGGGCATAGCGAGCAGATCGAGGGACGTGATCGTTCCCCTCTATTCGACATTGGTGAGGCCTCATCTGGAGTACTGTGTCCAGTTTTGGGCCCCACACTTCAAGAAGGATGTGGATAAATTGGAGAGAGTCCAGCGAAGGGCAACAAAAATGATTAGGGGTCTGGAACATATGAGTTATGAGGAGAGGCTGAGGGAGCTGGGATTGTTTAGCCTGCAGAAGAGAAGAATGAGGGGGGATTTGATAGCTGTTTTCAACTACCTGAAAGGGGGTTCCAAAGAGGATGGCTCTAGACTGTTCTCAATGGTATCAGATGACAGAAGGAGGAGTAATGGTCTCAAGTTACAGTGGGGGAGGTTTAGATTGGATATTAGGAAAAACTTTTTCACTATGAGGGTGGTGAAACACTGGAATGCGTTACCTAGGGAGGTGGTAGAATCTCCTTCCTTAGAGGTTTTTAAGGTCAGGCTTGACAAAGCCCTGGCTGGGATGATTTAACTGGGAATTGGTCCTGCTTTGAGCAGGGGTTGGACTAGATGACCTTCTGGGGTCCCTTCCAACCCTATATTCTATATTCTATGATTCTATGAATTGGCAAACAGATACCTGAAGTTAGGCTTCTAAATAAAAGTGACCTAAATAAAAGATTTTCAAAGGTGCTGAGCACCTGCACCTCCCCTTGACTTTCATAAAATTTGTGGGAGCTCAGCATTTCTGAAAATCAGGCTACTCTTATTCAGTGCCTACATACAGGTTTAGGAACCTAATTTTAGACACTCCCTTTTGAAAAATCTGAAAATAAATTATTCTCCATTTCCATTACAAATTTAGACAGAGAAACAAAAAAAAGTAATGCACAGGTAGGCTAGGTTTAGGCCCTATGTATCGTACAATTCTAATTTACTGAACTCTGATAACCCTAACTTGCCTATTCACTAAACTACAGCATGTTGCCTTGTAAAAATGGAGGTTCACATAGGATTTCAGTACATGGGGAGTGGAGCTGCATGCTTCACTCCTGCACAAATTACGTCATACAGAAGACTGAAACCAGCAAGGAAATTTACAGTCTAAAGACAGGAGAATCGCAATATAATAAACTTCTGATTATTCAAACTGAAATGCAGATGAGTAGGTGATTCAGATAACTGGGGTACTCCTGTATTACTCAGACTGAACTGGATGCATACATGTGTTTTTCAATAAACTTTATTTTAATTTCTATCATGACCATACAGGATACAGCCCCCCCCAAAAAAGTCCTGTTTTAATATGCTAATAAAATGCACACCTGCATAGTATATAAATGCTGCACTGATGCTACACACTAACTCCTCTTTCCTTCAGATAGTGAAGAATTCTGTAATAAAAACAGTGCAGGGATCTGTAAGAGATGGAAGTGAAAGCAATATGAAGGTGGAAAAGAATGCACATATCTTTCCCCATAATTTATTTCCATGCTTTTAAGGTTTTAGGTGGAAGGATATGGCCTGATGCCATCTTCACTGTTGCTGAATGTAGTTTTTGTTTGTTACTTATACAAAATGTATAGAGACACATTTGCTTCACTTATATAAGACATTAAGGACCCTACTGCAGTTTGAAGTATATAAAGTACATATAAGAATGTAAATGTTAACCGACAGAAAAGGTGGGGGAAGGAATTGAGCAACAACAACAAAAAAGCCTTGTGTAATTTGTCTTATAGTTATGCTTAAAATTCCATCCATTGTGTTTTTTATTAGTTTTCTAGTTTTACCCATTTAGACTCTGATCCTGGAGTGTGCTGCACAGTACACAGGGCATGCCCATGCACAGTGAACTGGATGACTGGGGCCTACAACTGTATGAAAAATATATGTAAAAAAATAACAAATCCTCTTTTTTAATCTCTTAAAAAATAGTACAAGTATTTCTAAAAAAAAAATTTTTTTTTAGAAAAAGCTCAAAAATGAATGCTACTTAACCGTTCTCTAATCTAGATCCAAACAAAACTCAAGGAAGTAAATAGAAAGGTACTAGAATAACTAACAATAAATACTGCCCCAAGAGAAGGACTGAATAGTTAAGAATGGCAAGAATGTCTTCAAATGGGCTTGCAGTGGGCAGAGCATTCATCACGCAGTCTTTTATGAGTAGCTATCTTTCTCTGGCTATGTGTAATTTACAATTACAATGTAATCACTGTATGATGTGGTGCGTATAAACACCTATTCAACTTGCTGAAAAAGAGCGCATCCCTATTGTATACCAGAACCGATACAGTCACAGAACAATCAATGAGAGAAAGAAATTAAATTGAACTTTACCTGTTCTCTAGTAAACCAACGGGCATCCTCTATTTCATTCTTGTCAACTCTTATTTCTGTAGACACTGCAACAGCTAAGCAACCAATCATTAGGGAGGAGGGCATTGGCCATGGTTGACAAGAGACATACTGAACATGGCCAATTTTGACTCCACTCTCCTCCTCTACTTCTCTTCGAACAGCATCTTCTATTGTTTCCCCTAATCAAACAGGGCAAAGAACAAGCATCTGATGAAAATTCTCCAAGCAAGGATTACATTCTGTGCTTTGAACTGACTCAAAAGATTTAAAATTGCCTTGAACAATTATCTACAGGCATCCAGTTCCCAGGGTAGCACACAGATCTGAAGTATGAGAATCAGCAGTGTAATAAAAGAAAGGCAGGCACCAAAGCAACATTTTCAAAATGAATAAAAATAAAATAAAATAAATACTATAAAAATATCAGAATACCAGCATCATAATGTATATTTCCTATGTAAAGCTACCATTAGTCCTTGAAATTGCTATGTGAAATGTACAGAAAATTTAACACACTTTACCTCAAATTAACTTTGAAACAAATAATCGTTTTCTCACTATAACAGGTAAATAATTTTGTTAACTTTAACTTAAGGTTTGTACTATGACTATAATAGTGTGGAATGTTACAGTTTAAAAATTAACAAAGCCTTTCGAAGTATGACAATCAACAGTAAAAAGATGGTAGTTATTCAAATACACTCAAACAGATGCCTACATTACCCACTCTGACACATTCTTCCTCTCTTCAAGGAGCCTCCTTTGCACCTCACAATATAAAGAAACACAAAACAGACACTAAATTCCTCTAACTCAAATTATAATGGAAAACTTTAACTCGACCCTCAGGAACATTCATATTTATATACTGTGGGCATACGTGCACTGGATAAGTTTATAATATATTATTTGTACATGGGAAATGGCTGAAGTCAGTTACATTTTTCCTTAATTTTCCTACCTTCTGGCCCTTATTTTTGAAAATCTTGGCCTACATTCTTTAGGATTCTAGTACCCTACATATTTCCCATAAAAGAAGAAGCTTTGTTCATCAAAGGATGAGCTGTCAGGTAAGACTAAAACATGAATAAATGTCACCTTTATCTTGGAAGATCTCTAGCATAAAGAAATACACCATTCTTCTGCCAAACTGAATGGTGACTAGTACCCCTTGGTACAGTAATATGAAACTCAGAATTCTAGCGCTATTATATCCTGACAGTGCCTCTTGCTACTTTTCTTTTGTGGATAATATCCAATTATTTTCTTCCATCTTTGCTTTAGATATGCAAGTGACATCTTCCCTGGCCGAATTAAATTACAACATAGGCATTACTGTTACATGAGATAACTCCTAACCTGTTCCTTAAATTCTGTGGTCAAAGGCTCCTTAAAGTAGATAATCCATGCATCAACATAGTGCCTTATCTACAGATATTTCCAAAATTCCCTTCTCTGAAGTTTAAACTGGATCTGCAGTCATTGGAATTTCTCTCAGGCAGATCTTAATATACTGTGCATCTTTTATGTTTTCTATTCTGACTAGTAAGAGACTAGCCCATTAATGCAGAAGGTTGAGTTCAACCAACTAGGCGCTTAGCTGCCAGATAACAGGCTGTTCTTTCATAATTTATGTTTGTTCTCCAACACTTGATTGTTATAAGGTTTCTCAAGTAAATAAATAGCTCACGGGTGAACCTGGAAGAGTTGGGAAGCTCATTGGTTGTTTATCCAAACTAGCCAAATCTCTTTGATAAGCAAAACTGGTATGAAGATAGCATGAAAATATGCTGGCTCATGAGATTTCCAATAATACAGTCTTTAATTCAGCCTGGAAATACTCTGATAACAGGTGTCCTTGTATTTCAGAACTTTATGTCCACTCAAAATGAAAAAGTGCAAAGAGATACGACAATGAAAAATACAAGGGAAGGTGGAACAAGTGAGGAAGTGAAAAAAAAAATCCAACCTTTTTCTACCTCTAAAATAATATTTGAGTCAATTCTTATTTTATCTGAACCAGTTCATTCAACTACATAGCAGAAGTCAGTCACACAGATAATTTTTGGACCTAGCTATGCATTATGGTCTCTTTAGTGAATAAGATGCATTAGAGTAAGTGTTTCATGAAATAATTTTTACTCCTTTTTTCCAAAACAAAGAAAAGTCAATACAAAAAACTATGTTTAAATCATAGTTGTAGATAGTGACAAAAAAACAAGTAATTCAATATTAAGCCTTAATCTCTGTCCTTAACATGCGCAGCCAAGTGCCCTCCTTCTCCCCTGCTGTTCATTTGTACCAAAACCTCATAGTAGTGAATGAGTACAGTTTATTTGTACTAAATTCTCTAGACAATAAAGGAAAAGAGATTTCAGCTGAAAGGGATGCCAACAAACTGAAAATCTCATTTCTGTTTGAAAATTTTGTACCCACTATAATTATGTTACTACCTGAGACTATTATTGCTGAAAACAGCTAGCAGAAAAAAGTATCTTCACTTTACCTTGTGCATTTTACAAAGCTTTTTGAACTTTCACTTTTCCTCTGCACAGTCATTTACGCCTTGATCCTGCAAAAACTTAAGCACATGCTAAATTTTAAGCATGAGTAGTCCTGCTGAGTTCAATTTCAGTTTCTTCCTGGCCAAAAGTATTCTCATAAATACCATGAGGGGGAATAGAAAAAAATCCTTATATAGATGCGTAAAGATTTTTTTTTTTAACTTAGGGCATGGGATGCTCTATCATAAAATGGAATTTTTTGAAATTAACCTTAAAAAATATTCAAGTTGACACATGTTCCTTAAAAAAACCCAACTGTCAATATGTAAGGTGTGTGGAATGTTTATTATAAAACACACCTAATAGATAATATACACATTTAGTTGACCTAATGTAGACCAAACTTCTGACATTCTTTTCAAAGTACAGTGCTATTTAAAATCAATTTGCAGGAAAATCCTTTTGAAAAGCTCCAGGCAATTTCAAGTGTAAGCTGGGATAGAAATATAAAATGAATTGACATTAAAGTCATGAAAAAAAATCTCACCAGGCTCTACAAATCCAGCAAGGCAGGTAAACATGCCAGGAGGAAACCTCTTCTGCCTGCCTAAAAGGCACTGGTTCCCATCTGGATGAACGACTTGCATTATCACTGCAGGATCTGGAATGCACATGAAAGAAATATATTTAAACTTTTTTGGGGCTCAAAATATAGTAACAAATTGCACGCATGTATAATCCTTTGTTCAATATTCATGGTGTAAATACAGATTTAGTGTATTTAAGAGCTTGAAATTCCAATTCCGTAGATGCCTCAATGCAGGTATTATCAAGATGTGTTTTTTAACGAGATCTCTATTCACCTATTTTTGTAATATACATGCCTAATAGGTGTACTTATCTAGCCCAGGCTTGAGAGCCAGGATATAAATTACCTGCAACTGCATGCAATTTCTTGAAATACCCACAGCTTTAACCTAGTTACACATCCAACAGAAAGCAACAATTTCAGCAGCAAGGATGATAAGCCATCACCTCTTCCTCAGTCACAGATCTGTGGGATGTATTTCCAAATGAAAAGTACTATAAAAGAGCTAGATATTATTATTATAATGATCTAAATGTTGTCATGTTTTTTCATTTTTACCCTTTTATTTCCTTCTCTTGGTTTCTAGTTCTCATTTTCTCCTTTGGATTTTATCCATTTCCCTCTCCTCTTCCTTTTTGTGTCTTTTTCCTTCTTTTAATTTTCTGTTTTATTTTCTCCACTTTCCATCAATCATATCTACATTGAGCCTCTCCCCTTTTTCTATACCAGTCTTCAGTCATCTCTTTCCCTTCTTGGTTGCCTCTCCCTGATTTAACCATCCTAAAATCTATGTTTTCTTTTTGCCTTCCCTTTCTCTCTCTCTGCCTTGGTATTCATCCTACTTGCTTTATCTTCCCTGCCTCACTGATCCTCCTTCTTGTATTTTCCTCTCTGTTAGAATGACTGATTTATCAAACTCATTAGGCAAATGCTTCTCAAAGATTGGTGCCTTATTCAAAAAGTACCTGCCATGGAGCACATGACAGAATTTCAAGTCCTGCTGGCTGCCAGTTTTATTAGAAAAAGGTATCACCATCAAATGCTGGCTCAGCAATCTTTCATTTTATCTTACTCCTTTTCTTAGTGTGTCGTGTTGTAGACTGTAAAGAAAAAATTACTAATGATTTTAGTAAGTTGCACAGTCCACAGAGGACAAGAGACGAGTGGAGCAGGTAGGAGTAACAAAAAGGTGAAGCAACAGACAAAAAGCAAGAGAGAAGGGCCAGACATACAACATACTATGATTGGGAGGGACATACTACAGAGTGAGGGGAAAGGAAAAGAGGTCAAAGGGTGAAGATACAAGAAAAAAGATGGGGAGACAATGAAATGAGAGGAAAGATGCAGTAACTCAAGCTTTTGAAAGGCTAAGGAGAGGAAGGATGGTCCAGTGATTAAGACAGGAACTTAGGAGACTACAGTTCAAGTCCCTGCTCTACCACAGACTTCTTGTGTGATTTTGGGCAAGTCACTTTGCTTCAATGTGCCTTAGTTCTCTACCAGCAAAACAGGGATAACAGTACTTCCTTCCTTTAAGGGTGTTGTGAGGATTTAAAAACTCTGAGGTGCTTAGATTCTAAGGTAATGAGGGCCATTTAACTAACTTAAATGGATTTAAAAAAAGCATAGATTTCAAGAAAATAAATGTGGAAAATATATTATCCATACGGTAAAGGGCCAAGGGGGAAAGAGAGAGACTAAGAAGGAAAGACAGGAAAAATATGATGACAAGGCATAGGTAGAAAAGCTGTTTACTTGTTTAATTTATTCATGTTACTTCAAATGTTTTATATTTCCCTGGCAAAGAGTCCAGAACTCTGTAACTGGAGAGAAAGGATAGAATTCTCTCATTTGTTACCTATGGGCACATATCTTTTTACATGACAAGGGTTCAGGAGCAGGCAATTTCCCCCCTGAATTTTACCTGTTTGTTACAAAAGCTTGCTACTTAAAATAGTTTTTTTAGTCTTTGAAGTAAGTATCCTCTCTATTGCACAGCTGTCCCTATTCTAGTTCACAGTACAGATCTAAATATCTTTTTACAATAAAATGAAATAACTACCTTTTGTACAATATGTACGACATTCAGAATGCCAAGCAAAACAATTCTATAAATTAACCTTTACAGTAAAAAGACGCTAGATTCTGGATTTTGGCACAAGCTTAAGACAACAAATTCTCAAACAACTTTCCAAGTGCAGATGTTACATGGATAACAAAAGAAAAGATTCTAGTTCTATGAGATCCTCTTGCCAGGGTCACCATTTATCATGGATTTTCTAGAACTGTTGCAGTTCTTCTGGGGCAAGCCTTTACACACTAACTGCAGAATCATTTTACTGTCTTAAAAATTATTTAAGACTGTAAGATGTAAGCACATTGTGATGCCACACTGTAATATTTTCTGTATTAGAGTAGCACCTAGAGGCTGTGGCCTTTTGTATGAGGCACTGAACAAGTATATAATACAAAGACAGCCCCTGCCTTGAAGGGTTTACAATCTAAGTACCAGACCACAGACAACAGGTGGATAAAACAAACAGATGGCACAAGGAAATAATAGCATGAAACAAATGCATTAAAAAGAGTGTTGGCAGCAATAACAGTCGCCTAAGCACTGTAGAACTTTTTTTGTAAACAAAATGGCAGATGAATTTTTAGAAAGATCTGAAGAAGGATGATGAGGTGGCTTTGTGGATATCTATGGCAAGCCTTTCTTATGATGAAAGACAGCATGAGAGAAAGCATGAAGGTGCTTGCTGGAAAATTTAAAAAAATGGGACAACCAAAACTGGCATCTTTTGCAGAATGAAGGCTTGAGTCAATGTCCCTATATCATCTAACAGAAGACAGGTTGGGCAGGGTTAGGTCATTAAGGCCCTTAAAAGTAAAGACAACTAGATTATGACTGATGCAGTGGAGAAAGGGGAGCCAGTGGAGGAACACAGAGAGATGCGTGACGGTGGTCAAAACAATGTCCCAGAAAAATGATTGTTGCACCATCATTTGGATTGGACGTAAGTGGGGATAGATAGGATTTGTCAAAGCCAGAGGGAAGGAGGATGCAATAATCAAGACCTGGGATGATGAGGGCTTGGATGCTTGTGGATGAAGAGGAGAATGTTAATAATGTTATGTTAATAATTTGCTTACATTGTTGTAACATAGGATTTCTAGTGCCCTGCATTGAAACACAAGAGGCTGAAGTTGAATTAAAACTTTTTTTTTTGTCATGCACAACTCAAAGGTAGAGAAGCTTGGACTACTTTATCTTGAATAAAACTGACAGAGTGAGGTCTGGCGAGATAGTTAAAAAAAAGAGTTGGAGGGACTGAGTGAAGAGGATTGGAGAATTAAAAGGGATTAAGATACATGAATACAGTGAAGTAAGTGGTGAATAATAATATAATGTGAATAAGATAACGGAGCAAACAAAAATCAAATAATCAATTTGTAAGCACCTAGAAGATAATCAGCTAAGTAACAGGCAACACGGATTTGTCAAGAACAAATCACGTTAAACCAACCTAACATTTTTCTTTGACAGGGTAACAAGCCTCGTGGATGGGGGGGGGGGGGGTAGCAATAGATGTGATATATCGTGACTTTAGTAAGGCTTTTGATACCTTTCTGATGCTGTATGATTGAATATGACCATATATACCACTGTTATGCATTTGCAACAAATCTTGTACAAAGTATATCATTTAAGGTGTCAATGCAGAAGTTATGATTTGCTAAATAAGATTATCCTGTTTAAATCCATGTGAAGTTATGAATATTGGCTATGTATCTCTTTCTCAAATGTGTTTGCTCCTGGTGTAACAACAACAAGGTAGCTTACATTCACTCTCACCAGCCCATTGTGAGTGGACTAGTCAAGCTTGATGGCCCATAAGGGACACTTCACTCTAACAGTGGGCCACAGAAGAAACTCATTGCGCACAATAAGCCTTCCTGAGGATACCTCAGCAAGTATATGGGTAATGGCTACCCATGTGAGTCATCAAAGCAGGTAAGGATATGTGATATGCTCATGTGACTCTGGATTCCATTCTGAGCCAGTAACTTTCCAGGCATATGGCAAAGAATGTAAAAGACCCCTGAGGTATCTCCATTTTTCCTTTCCTACCCTGATTCTCTGGAGTATGGACTTACAACAAAACAGAGCATTTTAAACTATGGACTGAGGACTTTCCAATCTTTTGGAAGTTAGCAGGGAGACTTTACAAACTAGCAGTCTATTCCATTCACTGCTACAAACATAATAAAAGGACTTTGCAACTATTTGTATGTATATGATCTATTAACCATTTTTAACTCTCTTCTTTTTTTCTTTTATTAATAAACCCTTAGATTTTAGTTACTAAAGCATTGGCAATAGAGGACTCTATATGTGATTAAATTGATTTTCAGTAACCATTCATCATAGAGGCCAGTGTCTGGGTGGTAAGACAATGGCTGGAATGCCTAAGGAGACTGCATCTTTGACTTCCTGTTAACAAACGTGGTGAGACAGAAGTTTACTTTTGTTACTGGCGTGGTATAAGAATAGAATAACCACCAGTTTGGGGTTAGTCTACCCTATTTCTCAGCAGTTTGTCCTGAACCTGGTATTCTCAGCTGTGACCCACTGAAGCATGCTGACAACTGTCTCATCTGACCTTCTCATTAACAAACTAGAGAAATATAGCTTACACAAACCTACTATAAGGTGGGCGCACAACTGACTGGAAAACTGTACTCAGAGAGTAGTTATCAGTGGTTCATAATCAAGCTGGAAGGAAATATTGTGTTGGGTCCGGCAGGGATCTGTCCTGGATCTGGTTCTAGTCAATTTTTTCAGAAATGATTTGGATAATGGCACAGAGAGTATACTTATAAAGTTTGTGGATGACACCAAGCTGGGAGGGGCTCGAGGACTGGAATAAGAAATGGTCTGAAATAAATAAGATGAAATTCAATAAGGACAAATGCAAAGTATTGCTGTTAGGAAAGAATACTCAGTTGCACAAATACCAAACGGGAAATGACTGGCTAAAGAGTACTGCAGAAAACGATCTGGGGGCTATAGTGGATCACAAACTAAATGAGAGTCAAAAATGTAATACTGTTGAAAATAAAGCAAACATCATTCTGTGATGTATAGCAGGAGTGCTGTAAGAAACACATTAGAAGTAATTTTTTCCCCTCTGCTCAACAGATAAGTCCTCAACAGGAGTAGTGTGTCTGGTTCTGAGCACGCTTTGGGAAAGATGTGGACAAACTGGAAAAAGTCCACAGAAGAATACCAAAAATGATTAAAGGTGTAGAAACCACGACCTACGAGGCAAGATTGAAAAAGCTGGGTTTGTTTAATCCGGGGAAGAGAAGACTGAGGAGGGCACATAAGAAGTCTCAAATAGGTAAAAGAATGGTATAAAGAGAAAGGTGATAAATTGTTCTTCTAATCCATTAAGGGCAGGACAAGAAGTATGGGTTTAAATTGCAACACAGAAGATTTAAATGAGACATTAGGAAAAATTTCCTAACTGTAAGGGCAGGTAAGCACCGAACAAATTACGTAAGGAGCTTGTGGAATCTCTATCATTGGAGGTTTTAAAGAACAAAGTTAGACAAACAACTATAAGGGATAGTCTAGATCAGTGGTTCCCAAACTTGTTCCACCGCTTGTGCAGGGAAAGCCCCTCGCGGGCCGCATCGGTTTATCTGCCGCATCCGCAGGTTTGGCCGATCGTTGCTCCAGGCCAATGGGAGCTGCTGGAAGCAGCGGCCAGTATGTCCCTCGGCTCGCGCTGCTTCCAGCAGCTCCCATTGGCCTGGAGCAGCAAACCGCAACCACTGGGAGCCGCGATCGGCCAAACCTGTGGACGCAGCAGGTAAACAAACCAACGCGGCCTGCCAGGGGCTTTCCCTGCATGAGCGGTGGAACAAGTTTGGGAACCACTGGTCTAGATAATACTTAATCCTGCCTCAATGCAGGGATTGGACTAGATGGATTCTATGATATAAGCCAGTTTTCTTCAGTCAATTGTTTATTTTTATGATATTCTTACCAACTCTTGGGTACGATGTATTGTGAACACCTTGAAGACTGGAACAATCTTCTTTTAAGCAGGTCGTCTTGTAGCCTCCTTCTTCAATCTTGGTTGCACTGCCACATGTTGGGCAGAATTGGTATCGGTTATGCCATGCTAGAAGAGATCTAGCCTGGGCTACTATTCCTTTAAAAGAATGCACCAAAATGATAGAATCACATAAAATCAATTTACAAGTCTTCTAATCTTTTAAAATATATAGCACAACAAGAAAATTCTCGTAATTCAACAGGAAAATCAAACTAAAACCACCGTTTAAAATGTCCTCTTGATAATCTCATATTGTTCAAATTCCCTTATCTATTTTCCCTAACTATGTTAATTTAAGAGCTGCATTGTCCTGAACTCTGTGCAGTCATTTACACTAGTGCAGGACATAACAATTTCAGGGTAACTGTATTCCCTCTCCCATGGTCTCTAGATAGCACCCATTATAGGTTTCAGCGCCTAGCAAGCACCTCTTCTCGGGGGAGTCCCGTGTCTCTCTCCTTCCTGACCAGGAGTTTTAAGACTGCACAGCAACCTGCCTTACACTGCAATATCCCAAGCAAGCCAGTCTGCCTAAAGGCCATTGCCTTTGCTTTGCTGTCTCTCCAAGTGCTATAAACAGTGTATTTATAGCTAGCAGCTACAAATTATAACAGATTTTTCTAGGCAAGCACATTTATTCTTAAGGTAAAAGCATTACAGAGAAAACAAAGAAAACATTAAACATACTAGGGAGTCACCAATCAGTCTTATGGGGCCCTAGCAGGCCAGACTTTCTAATCCTTCTGAAAGGGTTGGGGCCCATCTTGGATAGAAGGTCCTGCCTGTTTGCTGGTTCAGAAAGATGGTCCTGAGTTAATTTAAACTCAGTCTTTTTATATTAAAAGCTCTTTCTTTGTCTGTTGGTTTCTGGAAAACCCAGTCTAAACCAGTATATGAAAGCCTTCCCAGAAGGCAGTACTTCTCTGGGGGGTATTTATCATTAAGTGATTCACCTTAATCACCCCCTATTGTTTTTAGTTCCTGGTGGAGCAGTAGGGAACCATCCCCACTTAGAGGTAAATAAAATCCCTGGGCCAGTGTTACAAAAACCACTCATACACTTAACACAACATGTTCCCCACAGATATTGCATACAGTTACAATATTATTGCCTGGTTTTGCAGACATTAGTATCTTTCAACTGTGTATGCAAATTTTTATAAAACCAGTTGTAGCTAGTGAAAAAATCAGGTCATAGACTTTTAATTAAAACCCCTGGAAACAATGGAATTTGCCTGTACTAGTTGGCTCTCTTTTTTTAATTCAATCGTTCTATAAAAAACATTGTACCTTTTATGTGAGGATCTCAAGACATACTTCAAACAATTAAACAACAAAACTCTATGTGGAAGATACATATTATTACAGCTTATTATGGGCATCACGGAGGCACACAAATTGGGTAAGGATTTGCTGAAGATCATGCAACTAATCAGAAGGAGAGGGGAAAATAGGAGCCAATACAGGAGCCCTTCCATGGCCCTGCTCCCACTTCCCATCCACTCTTTTCTGATTAGACAATTGCTAAAAGTTACATTTTGGACACCTTACCAGCTTCTTTTTCAGGCAACTGCAGCAGTGCAGGCATGGGAGGATGAAGAAAATAACAGTCTTCATGCTTCTGTTTAAACTGTTCAGCAAAGGTAGCATTTATGCTTAGGGCAAACCAAGCAACCAGTCCATCTTCTTCATCTTCCTTCAGAACGCCTCCACTCAGAGTAGCCAACTGAAGTTCTACTCCAAGAAAAATCAAGGTGACTTCTTCAGTCTGGCTCATGTATTCCTTTACATCCTTGTGGCACAGCCTGCAAAGCCTGACTTCAGGCTGCTGGGAACCATCTTCCCCTCCACCCAAAGTGACCAATGGGTTTAAATTTGAGAAAAGGATGTATACGGTGGCTGGATGGTTTTGTTTTGTGTTTAACCATTTAGAATCTGTTCTTTTATCACTCCTTCTATCCAGAAGTGTCCTGCTAAAATAATTTTCATACTCTATTGCATCATTTGGCAGGAAAAAAGGCTTCTGTCCACCCTTAACATTTGCTAGTAAATTAGCTATATGCTTATACCCCCAAAATTTAGCAATGTCTAGTGCAGTCTGGCTTGATTTATTGACAATGGACCTGTCACACCTATAAACAGAAAAGAAAATGATGGTTACCATAGTGACTGTGATTCTGTAAGAGTCTTGCTGGAGCATATTCTCACGGTGAGATACATCCACACTGCCATAGAGCTTTGGGGGCCTTTAGAAAAGTAGTGGCAATTGGGGCCATGTACGTACTCTTTCACAGCACTGAACATTTAGAAATGTGATCATAAAATGACTAAATGGTCCCAATACCTTCATTCTCTCCTGCTAAATTCAACTGTTGGAGTCTTTGATTCCAAGGCCAGAAGGGACCACTATGAATCATTTAGTCTGACTTTCTGTAACAGCCGTGTTAGTCTGTATTCGCAAAAAGAAAAGGAGTACTTGTGGCATCTTAGAGACTAACCAGAGACTAAGACAGAGAACTTCTTCAAAATAATTCCTATAGCATACCTTTTAGAAAAACATCCAAATATTATTTTTAAATTGCCAGGATGGAGAATCCACCATGATCCATGGTAAATTGTTCCAATAGCTAATTACCCTCATTGTTAAAAATGTACACCTTGTTTCCAGTTTGAGTTTGTCTAGCCACTGGATCGTGTTATAACTTTCTCTGGTAGACTGAAAAGCTCATTATCAAATATTTATTCCGCATGTAGGCACTCAGTCAGTAATCAAGTCACCTTGTCACTTTCTCTTTGTGAATCTAAACAGATTGAGCTGCCTGAGTCTATGAAGACAGGTTTTTCTAATCCTTTAATCACTCTTGTGGCTCTTCTCTGAACCCTCTCTAATTTATCAACAACCTTCTTGAACTGGACACAGATTTCCAGCAGTGATCACATCTATGCCCAATACAGAGGTAAAATAACTTCTCTACTCCTACTCGTGTCACAGGACAGTAGGACACTGAAAAAATTCATAAATACCTAATTAACTTTAATGCAATACAACACCAGAAATTAAGGAAGTCTTGGATCAAAACCCAGAAATTGCTCCATGCCTAGAGAGAACAGATTCCTCTGCAGAAGGGAAAGAACTAAGGCAGGTGGACCACATTGCCCTTTTTTTGCTTTGGCTCCGAATGTTCAATGCTGCAAGAGGGAGCTCATGCAGCTGTAGTGGGCAAAGCATATAATCTGTTTCAGACTAGGAGGAAAAGATTACAAGCATAAATAATATGAAACCATTCCATCTTCCCATACAATTTGACTTGTGAATTTTCCTTTTCCGATTAGAATTACTTGTTCATTGACATGCAACACCAGTTTTCTCAACTGGGAGCTAAGCACATGCCCTACGAATCATCTTGAATAGGGAAAATCTGACCCTCACTTTGTAAAATGCTTCAAGTTTAAAATATTTTCTTATAAAACAATTTTAAAATCACGGAGCAACAGCATGCTGTGAATTCTTATATTGAAAATAGCAGTCTTGGTAAACAGAAGGTTCTGAAATTGAGAACTCAAGAAGTCAGGAAAAGAATGCATTTGTTTTTGTAAATACAAAGCCCGGTGGATTATGGACAACAGCATCACCATAAATTACAAATAACATATGTAGGCTTAAATAATGCAGATTGTCACCTCACGTTACTTTAACAAAGCAGGTTTCAGAGTAACAGCCGTGTTAGTCTGTATTCGCAAAAAGAAAAGGAGTACTTGTGGCACCTTAGAGACTAACCAATTTATTTGAGCATAAGCTCAAATAAATTGGTTAGTCTCTAAGGTGCCACAAGTACTCCTTTTCTTTTTTAAAAAAATAGTAGATATTGGGTCAGATTCACCTGTATGTTCCTACTGCTTTGTGTTTCTCCATGAGCTATTTTCTGTTGGTACTGATGCTTGCTTATAACAATTAGTGGAAAATTTATAGTAAAGATTGGATTGGGAAATATTTTTTTAAACAAATGTAAAAGAAAATGATTTCATCTTGTAATTCTACTTTCTTGAAGCTTCCACCTTTCAGGAATCTCAGTTCTGAGTTTTAGCTCCTTAGCAAGAGACTGACAAAACTTCCCTAACTCTTAAGGTTTTTTACCCTTAAGGGTAATGGGGCAGAGTGAGAGGTAAGCCCCCTACTTATCATGTTTAGCACAAATGCTGCCCCTCTGAATATTTCAATAAACTCCTTTGACTGCTTGGAAAGCAAAGCTCCAGAGAAAAATGTCAATTCAAGATGAAAATATGTGTCCCACAAAAATGAAAATAAAAGTAGAAGAAAAAATACTTTTAGTAGACTTTAAGACCAGAAAGGGCCATTAAGATCATCCAGGCTAACGTACAAGCCAGAGTATTTCATCCCACGAGTCCTGCCTTAAGTTCATTAACTTGTGGCTGAATTTAAGCATCTTTTAGAAAGACATCCAATCTCGATTCAGACTTCAAATGATTGAGAATATACATTCGGGGTAGTCAATTATTTTTTGTTGAGGTCCAAATTTCTTGGTCAAAGTATAGTTAAGGTCTAAACTCCAGAGAAAATAATAAAAATGATAAGTAAATAAAAGGATTTTGGGGACCATTCAAAAGCCTCTGGCGGTCCAGATTTTGGCCCACGGTTCACCTATTGACAACCCTAAGCTACATCCTTTAGTAATCTGTTCCAGTGGTTAATTAGTCTCACTGTTATAAATTTGCCCCATATTTCCAGTTTTATTTTTTCTAGCTTCAAACTTCCAACCATGGGATCTTGTTTTGTCTTTGTCTGTTAGATTAAAGAGCCCCATCTTCTGCCTGTGTAGGCATCTGTAGATTGCGATCAAGTTGCCTCTTACCCTTCTCTTTAATAAGATAATTAGACTGAACTTCCTTGAGGCTCAGTGTAAGGTGTTTTTGTTTGTGTATAATGTTTAAAATAATTCTTGTAGCCTTAAAACTCCCTTTAATTTTTCAGTATCTTTTTTTTGTGGAAACAAAACTGGATACAGAATTCCAGTAGTGGTCTCACCAATGTTTTATACAGATGTAATATCAACTCCTTACTCCTCATTTATATCTCCAAGGATCATATTAGTCCAGGGGTGGGCAAACTACAGCCCGCGGGCCAAATCCGGCCCCTCAGAGCTTTGCATCCGGCCCACAGAATTGCCAGCCCAGCCCCACTCCCGGAAGAGGCTGGCACCGCAGCCCCTGTGGGGGACAGGAGGGCAGAGGGCTCCGCGCGCTGCCCTCGCCTGCAGGTACTGCCCCCCGAAGCTCCCATTGGCTGCAGTTCCCCATTCCTGGCCAATGGGAGCTGCTGGGGCGGTGCCTGCAAGCGAGGGCAGCGCATGCCCTCTGCCCTCCCCCTCCCCCAGGAGCCACAGTGCCATCTGCTTCCGGGAGTGGCGCAGGGCCAGGGCAGGCAGGGAACCTGCCTTCGCCACACTGCCACCCCAGAGCTGCTCCAGGTAAGCAGCGCCGGGTTGGAGCCCACACCCCAAACCCCTCTTGCACCCTGCACTCCAACCCCCTGCTGCACCCCGCACCCCTCCTGCACCCTAACCCCCTGCCCTGCGCCCCTTCCTGCACACCGCACCCCCTCCCGCACCCCAACCCCTTGTCCCAGCCCTACTTTCATGGCCCTGCATGCAATTTTCCCCACTCAAATGTGGCCCTTGGGCCAAAAAGTTTGCCCACCCCTGTATTAGTACCTCTAGCCATAGCAATACACTAGGAGCTCATATTCATTTCATTATCTAACATAAGACGCTAAGTCCTTCTCAGAATCACTGCTTTGCAGAATACAGTCCCATATCCTGTAAATATGATTTGCATTCTTTGTGACTTGATGTGATCTTGCATTTGGCTACATTAAAACACATTGTTTGTCCCCAGCTTATCAATCAATCAATCCAGATCGCTCAGTATTCGTGATCTTGCCTGTCATTTTTTACCTCAAAGAAGGTATCCTCCAAACTCTAAGGCAGGTGTAAGGTTTCCCATCATAAAGCACACATAATCCCACCGCCTGAGGTAATCCAGTAGTAGGAGAGGGTCACAGTACTGGTTCATTTGACAGTCCATGATGGGCAAAGAGGGTGTAATGAGTTAAAAGAAGATGTGGACAGACCACCAGTGAGTTTGGCCAATTTGTGGCTGCCAAAATGGTCCCTTGGGGCTGTGGATAGCTTTGTGCAAATTATAGAAGCCACCAGATGACTTATTTAGCCAGAGACTGGACCAGGTATGGCTGACTCCAGGAATGGGGGGAGCAAAAAGGTGACAAAGTCAACTTTGCTTCCCTCTGCTCTGACACAAAGCACAGCTCAATCACATTAGAAAAATGTATCCCTTACTCAGGCTTTAGTTTTGAGGGTTTTATACTTCATAGCATTCCAGTCCAGCTTTGTGTTGGATTTGCCTGGGATGTCTAAACAAGAGCTTTGAGGCAATCTTTATGTTCCTTCAAAGCTCACAATTTTATTAGCCATATCTAACAGTACTGTGGTTGACTTCAAGGCAGACAACACAACATACGTGGTGGTCAGCCTTTGACATTGGTTTGGTGTGCTGACATGGTATGAAGATACTATGTGTTCTTCCTCTCTTCTTAGAAGCCACACTTAGAAGTAAGGCAGTGGTGCACAGAGATAAGAGTTGAACCAACTGAGACATAAGTGCCAAGTGACAAAACAAAGAAATTCAGCATCAAGTAGTATTAAGATCCTCTAACAAAACGTGTAGCACAGTAGTGTCCTAACTCAGTTGCCAGTGAGAACAGTGCTAGGAGTACTAAGAAATACAAGTAAAAGAAAATACTGCAGAAGTACTGAGGTACTAGTCAACAACTGTGCCAAGAAAAGCACTGAAACAAAATTGTTTGCACTACAATACAAAGGGCAGTGCTGGATTAGAGTTAAGGCTTTGAGGAAAAAAATAAATTTAATAAATCTAAATATTCCAGTTAACATATTCAATTTATACATGCAAGGGGAGGTGTGCAATGGCCAGTTTAGGGCATGGCACATGCTCTACCCTGTTACCACTACTCTCAAGAATGAAAATAACCTTAAGAGATAGGAGAATTCCACCAGTCTGGCATGAGGAACTGACTGAGACCCCAACACAGAAGGTAACTTCAGAGAGGAAAGATGTTCATAAGGATCTGTATATAGTGGTCATTCAGAGACATTAATCAAAGGGGCAGGAAGGGCCTGATTAGATCCTAAGTAAAGGATCCTTTAACTTTCTTACCCTGTTTCAAGAAGAATCTGCACAATCTCAAAGTGTCCATTTCTGGCAGCATACATCAAGGCTGTCCAACCATTCTCAGCAGCTTCATTGATAAGGGATGGAGAATGAGTGCACAGCGCTGTCAACCTGATCTTGTCTCCAGTAGCAGCAAAACTGTGCAGTTGAGAAATCATTTGCTGCATGGGGTTCCTTCCGGTGGTTGTCATTATCTCAGCTATGTTAAAAAAAAACAAACAAAACAGAAATATGTCTGAAATTTGGATTTTATATTATTTAAAAAAGGATAAAGAAAAAATATATAACTTGTAGAACAACAAAACTCACCCACAATGATCACCTTGAAAATGATACAATTGTAACAATGTCATGTGTAGTGTGAAATCCTTAAGAAAATCAATTATATTCAGTGTTGATTAATGTCAAGTAATGTATACTGGAAAATACATTCCAAACTAAACATACAAAATAATGGGGCCCAAATTAGCTGTTACAGCTGAAGAAAGAGATCTTGGAGTCATTGTGGATAATTCTCTGAAAACATCTGCTCAACATGCAGCAGCAAGTCAAAAAAAGCTAATAGAATGTTAAGAACCATTAGGAAAGGGATAGATAATAGAGTAAATATCATAACGCCACTATATAAATCCATGGTACGCTCACACCTTGAATATTGCATAAGTTCTGGTTACCTCGTTTCAAAAAAGATATATTAGTATTGGAAAACATACACAGAAGAGCAACAAAAATGATCAGAGGGAATGCAACAGCTTCCGTTTGAACCGAGATTAACGCGACTGGACCTGTTCATTTTAGAAGAGGTGACTAAGTCGGGATATGATAGAGGTCTATAAAATTCTGAATGGTGTGGAGAAAGTGAATATGGAAGTGTTATTTACCCTTTCACATAACACAAGAACTCAGGGTCACTCAATGAAATTAATAGGTAGCACATTTAAAAGAAACATAAGAAAGTACTTCTTCATACAACCCAGTCAACCTGTGGAGCTCACTGCCAGGGGAGGTTGTGAAGGCCAAAAGTATAACTGGTTCAAAAAAGAATTAAGTAAGGAGGAGGATAGATCCATCAGTGGCTATTATCTATGATGGTCAGGGATGCAACCTCATGCTCTGGGTGTCCCTAAGCCTCTAAGTGCCAGAAGCTAGCACTGGATGACATGGGATGGATCACTTGATAAATTGCCCTGTTCTACTCATTTCCTCTGAAGCATCTGGCATCGGCCACTGTTACAAGACAGGATACTGATCTAGATGGACCACTGGTCTGACCAAGCATGGCCATTAATTTCAAATGAAATTGTCGTCACCAAGCAAGTTTCTTTATATCAAAACTCACATGACAAAATATCTTTCCTCACACATTTTCCTCCAGGAAAGAAAACTAGCTTTAGGAGAGGCTTGAAGATACAGTAAATTGAAAGTAAACACTGGTGCTCAAATAACAGACACCATCAAATGCTTATTGACCGTCTTGGAAGCTGAGACAGAAGACACAGCACTGAAAGGCCCAGGCCAGGAGTGACACCCCTGCTGGCACCACAGCCCCAGCAGCTGAGGTGGGAGGTGGAGAGTTGGCTGTGGACTTGACTCCCCCCCTGCCCCCAATCAGGCTGTGAACGTCTGTTGTGGCCAAAGGGGCTGTCCCATGCAGCCAGGGCTGTGGACAGCTCTGCTGGCAGGGGAAGCAGGGCAGGTTGGAGTGCAGGGGGTATTCCAGGAGCCACGCAGCAGGCGGGGGTTGGGGGGGTAAGGGGCGGCCTGGGGACCCACATACGCATGGATGGTGATGGAAATGGAACCATTTCTCTCAGAGGTGGTCCCCTTTATTTAGGTTGTCAGAAAGGCACACTCACAGGTCAGTTTGGAAGCTTGCGCAACCACTGCCTCCTTCTGAACATGCTGGACTTTCAGAGCACTAAATAGCTAATCTAGCAACTCTCACAAGCACTACATTTATTATATATATAGTTTTACAGTCCCAAGAAAAAAAGTAAAGTTTCAGCCTCAGATTTACCAATAAAGAATCTAGATTCTCTACATGTTAAATGAAAATAATAAAGTTCAGAATTGTGTGTAGTCTCTAGTATATACATATATTTTTTAAGAAATACGTTCATTGCCATTTTAAAAGGCTCAATTCAATGACAGCCCACAGAGGATGCTTTCTCCTGGATACCAATTGTGAAGTATAATGGAATAAAATAAACTGCCATGGACCAAGGCTTAGAATCTTAGAACTGGAAGGAACCTCAAAAGGTCATCTAGTCCTGTCCGCTTCACATAGTATGATTCTTACTAATTTCATTTTGCTAGTGTGCCACACAATATGAAGAGAGAGAAAAAGGAATACTCCCAGAAAAAATATACTTGAGATAAACTTTTTACTAAGTCTAAAAAATTTATTTCAAAAACATTAAAGATGGAAATATTGATACATGTACTTTTTCAGGAAAGAGCACAGAATCAAAATTGTGTATCATGATCAACCTCTGTAGATTATGAAAAATATTTCTGGGCACGTTTCTATGGCCTGGTCTGCACTGTGGGTGGGGTGACTAATCTAAGTTATGCAACTTCAGCTAGGTGAATAACTTAGCTGAAGTTGACATACTTAGACCTACTCACCAAGGTGTCTTCACTGCGCTGAGTCAACTGCTGCCACTCCCCCCAGCTCTGCCTCCGCCTCTTGCAGCGCTGGAGTGGAGGGGAGAGCGTGTCGAGACTAGATGCGATAAATCCACCCCCGCTGGATCGATCGCTGGCCGCGGATCTGGCGGGTAGTATAGACATATCCTATAAAATCAGTTTCTATTAAACTGTAGATTTCTCCCGCTTTCACACCTTCCCAGCCCTTTGTACAGGCCAATGAATCGGGAATGGAAGGTGCTAACCCCCCCTTACTCTTACAGATGGAAGACAGGACTTGTGCTTCCTCCCACCAGGGAGGGGCTAGAGCAGGTGGAGAACCACGGGGACAGTCTGTTCCTGGGCCTGCGAGGGCTGCTCTGGAGAGGTGACAGCCGCACCTCCCTGGCGGCAGCTGCCTAACAACTGCTTTTTCAACAGGGCAGGGGAAACCCACGTGCCCGCGCCGCAGCAGCCGCCGCCGCCGGTTTCCCTTCGGCAGTTTCTGGTCTGACAACCGCTGGGGTGTAACCGACCGGCTGCGAGCCCACAGGGGCCCGAGGAGGGGGCGCACCCGGCCTGCAGCGGCGGCTCACAGGAAGGCGGGGCGGGGGCTGGGGGAGGGCAGAGGGGGCTGGTTGGGGGCGCTGGGGACCTGCCCGAGCTGGGCAAGCCCCGGCGCGCTGCCGTTACCGTTTTGGAGGAGGCGGGCGCAGGCGGAAGAGAAACAACCGCTTCCGGTCGGGCGGCACCGAAGCCCCCACACTTCCGGCGGCGCGCGCGGCGGGGCGCTGCTTGCGCCCCGGCCGGCCGGAGGGGGCGTTGCCGAGCCCCCCGCGCCTAGTTGCCCGCGGGCGGCAGGCCCCGGGTCTGTTCAGTCGGAGCTCTGAGTGCAGGACCCGGGTGTGGAAGCTTGGTTGCCCCGAGCCTGGTTTGTGCCGCCCGGCCAGGCCCTGCCGTGCGCCCTGCCAGCTGGCGAGAACACGCCGGCCGAGCGTGGGTAGCGCCTGGCTCAAGCCGGGCTCAGCTCTGCCTTGCCCCGCGCAAGCCGGTACCGGGCACTGAGGCCTGGGTCTGCACAGAAAAACGTCAGAGGAACAGTCCTGTTAGCGGCAAAGCTTCAGTTGGGAGCCTTGGCTCCCCCCCATGCAACGAATGGGGAGAGCTGGGCACCTAATAAATAGGGTTGTCAAGTTTGTTTGGATGTATTTCTGGAGATTTAACCACATGACGTAATCTTTAATTCCTGGAGACTGCCGGCCAATCCTGGAGGGTTGGCAACCATACTAAGAATGGGGTTAACAGAAACCAGCATGCTAGATTGGGAGTTGCCTCAACTAGCCAAGGGGAGATGCTGGCAAGAGGGGCCCATGACAAGCCTTTCCTCTTGCATTGAGCTAGGCACCTAAGTTGCGACTGGCAGGAAGTGCTTGTCTCTGCTAACCATCCACAGACTGGGAACCCTTCTATTGAAGTCAGATGATTTAGGCACCTAAGCCATTTTTTGTGAGAATGAGTTATATGCCTGCCTTGCTCCACACAAAATGGCTAGAGGCATGAAGAGGTGATGCTGCTGCCCACCTTATAACTTTTAGATTAGTAGTTAGAGCACTCACCTGGGAGACTTCAGGTCAATTCTCCCTTGTGTCTTATGAGAAGAAAATAGGTGGGAATCCTAAAGGAGTGCTGTAAGCACTGAGCTATGGATTATTCTGATGAGGGCCCCTCATTCTCTCCTGTTAAAACTGTTCCACTATGTACAAATAATGAAAGAGTCACTGGTGCAGGAGGGCTGGACCCTGCATCTCGCACTTTACACGTGGTCATGCTCACCCCAAATGTACAGATTCATATTCTCTCTCTAATGACTCTCTTTGGCCTAATGACTCTTAAGTATTTATTCAAGGAGCAACAGCTTCACCAGGAGAGACCGAGAGTGTCCAACATTAGAATAGCCATAGCTCAATGGTTAGAATATTCATCTGAGAGGTTGGGCAACAGCTCTCCATCTTCCTATCAGTCAGAGAGGGAAATTGAACCCAAGTTTTTTCCCTGCATGCCCGATGACTGCTTTAACCACTGGGCTGAAAGTGGCAAGGTGGATACCATCTTCTCCTCTGGTTAATTTTGAATGGGACCTGATCTGATATATGGCCTCTAAACATGCCCACCGGATTGGGCCCCATGGATGAGATAAGCACTTCTCTGCCTATCTTTGTTCCTGGATTACAGTGGGATTTAGTGGGGAGATAGGGATCCGGACACCTAGAGTGAGACAGCAGTGCACATGCTCAGGGGCAAATATGTAGGCACCTGGGGAATTTTTACAATGGAAATTTAGGTGCCAAGTGAGTTTAGGCACTTACAGGATTAGGTGGCAGCTGAGCAGGGATTTTGTCAATTTCAGTGGTGTCTAAAACTGATTTAGGTACCTTGCTTCACATTACAGAGAGCTAGATGTAAAAGCAAAGTTTATTCCGAAATAATAATTGAGTTAATTACAGAGCAGTATGTCCAGTTCTATGTGAATTATTTTAATAGTCAACATTAATCATAGAATCATAGAATATCAGGGTTGGAAGGGACTTCAGGAGGTCATCTAGGCCAACTCCCTGCTCAAAGCAGAACCAATCCCCAACTAAATCATCCCAGCCAGAGCTTTGTCAAGCTTGACCTTAGAAAACCTCTAAGGAAGGAGATTCCACCACCTCCCTAGGTAACCCTTTCCAGTGCTTCACCACCCTCCTAGTGAAAAAGTTTTTCCTTATATGCAACTGTCAAGGTTCCTCCCCCACTCTGAACTCTAGGGTACAGATGTGGGGACCTGCATGAAAAACCTCCTAAGCTTATCTTTACCAGCTTAGGTCAAAACTTCCCCAAGGTACAAAATATTCCCCCCGTTGTCCTTGGACTGGCCGCTGCCACCACCAAACTAATACTGGTTACTGGGGAAGAGCTGTTTGGACGCGTCCTTCCCCCCAAAATACTTCCCAAAACCTTGCACCCCACTTCCTGGACAAGGTTTGGTAAAAAGCCTCACCAATTTGCCTAGGTGACTACAGACCCAGACCCTTGGATCTTAAGAACAATGAACAATCCTCCCAACACTTGCACCCCCCCTTTCCTGGGAAATGTTGGATAAAAAGCCTCACCAATTTGCATAGGTGACCACAGACCCAAACCCTTGGATCTGAGAACAATGAAAAAGCATTCAGTTTTTTACAAGAAGACTTTTAATAAAAAATAGAAGTAAATAGAAATAAAGAAATCCCCCCTGTAAAATCAGGATGGTAGATATCTTACAGGGTATCTTACAGGGTAGATTCAAAAACATAGAGAACCCCTCTAGGCAAAACCTTAAGTTACAAAAAAGATACACAGACAGAAATAGTTATTCTATTCAGCACAATTCTTTTCTCAGCCATTTAAAGAAATCATAATCTAACACATACCTAGCTAGATTACTTACTAAAAGTTCTAAGACTCCATTCCTGTTCTGTCCCTGGCAAAAGCAGCCAGACAGACACAGACCCTTTGTTTCTCTCCTTCCTCCCAGCTTTTGAAAGTATCTTGTCTCCTCATTGGTCATTTTGGTCAGGTGCCAGCGAGGTTACCTTTAGCTTCTTAACCCTTTACAGGTGAGAGGAGCTTTCCCCTGGCCAGGAGGGATTTCAAAGGGGTTTACCCTTCCCTTTATATTTATGACAGCAACCTAAACCTCCCCCACTGCAACTTGAGACCATTACTCCTGGTTCTGTCATCTGCTACCACTGAGAACAGTCTAGATCCATCCTCTTTGGAACCCCCTTTCAGGTAGTTGAAAGCAGCTACCAAATCCCCCTCATTCTCTTCTGAAGGCTTAATAATCCCAGTTCTCTCAGCCTCTCCTCATAAATCATGTGCTCCAGTCCCCTAATAATTTTTGTTGCCCTCTGCTGGACTCTTTCCAATTTTTCCACAACCTTCTTGTAGCGTGGGGCCCAAAACTGGACACGCTACTCCAGATGAAGCCTCACCAATGCCGAATAGAGAGGAATGATCATGTCCCTCAATCTGCTGGCAATACTCCTACTTATACAGCCCAAAATGCTGTTAGCCTTCTTGGCAACAAGGGCACACTGTTGACTCATATCCAAATTCTCGTCCACTGTAACCCCTAGGTCCTTTTCTGCAGAACTGCTGCCTAGCCACTCGGTCCCTATTCTGTAGCAGTGCATGGGATTCTTCCCTCCTAAGTGCAGGACTCTGCACTTGTCCTAGTTGAACTTCATCAGATTTCTTTTGGCCCCATCCTCTAATTTGTCTAGGTCCCTCCGTATCCTGTCCCTAACCTACAGCGTAATTACCACTCCTCCCAGTTTAGTGTCCTCTGCAAACTTGCGGAGGGTGCAATCCATGCCATCCTCCAGATCATTAATGAAGATATTGAACAAAACCAGCCCCAGGATTGACCCTTGGGGTACTCCGCTTGATACCGGCTGCCAACTAGACATGGAGCCATTGATCACTACCTGTTGAGCCTGATGGTCTAGCCAGCTTTCTTTCCACTTTATAGTCTATTCATCCAGCCCATACTTCTTTAACTTGCTGGCAAGAACACTGTGGGAGACTGTATCAAAAGCTTTGCTAAAATCAAGGAATAACACATCCACTGCTTTCCCCTCATCCACAGAGCCAGTTATCTCATCATAGAAGGTAATTAGGTTAGTCAGGCATGACTTGCCCTTGGTGAATCCATACGGACTGTTCCTGATCACTTTCCTCTCCTCTAAGTCAATCAGCTGGCTTGTGGTGTTCAGGAGGCAGGGGACGGAGGGGGAGCCTGCGCGCTGTGTCCTCGCTCCTCTCCGCTCCCTCCTGAACACCGCAAGCCAGCTGATTGCCACTGGCAGGCCAGGAGGCAGGGGAGGAAGGGCTAAGGGAGGAGCAAGGACGCAGTGTGCAGAGTAAAGGGTGGGGGGGAGAAGAGGCGGGTTAAAGGTGGGTGAAGGGGTGGAGTGGGCGGGCCAAGGGTTGGGCCCCCAGCCCCTGGTGCTTGCAGAGTAGGGGAAGCTGCTGCTGTGCAATGTGCTTCTCCTAGCCTACAGCACCTTCAGCCTCCTTGCCTGCCTCATTGTTTCCCGTGCCAGTTCGCTGTGCCTGTGTGGGGTAAGGCGGGAGCACCTCCCAACTATAGTACTGTACTATATGGCAAAAAAGAATTTCCCTGGAACCTAACCCCCCCATTTACATTCATTCTTATGGGGAAATTGGATTCGCTTAACATCGTTTCACTTAAAGTCGCATTTTTCAAGAACATAACTACAACGTTAAGTAAGGAGTTACCGTATTTGGAAGTTGTACATTGTTCTGACTTGCTCATTAGGGGTCTTTGACATATAAGCACCCAGGATGAAACTCCCTACAGAAAGAGCTGGAATGCCTTGCAATAAGTGCACTCAGTCAATAAGGAAATTATGTGGGTTAAAGCACTCACCTTTGTCAGGCATCTGAAGCTCTGAGGTTCCTTTGTGTTGAAAAGCAGCTGTGCAAAAGGAGGGTAAGCACTTGACTGGGCCATGTGGTCTTGATGAGCAGCCTTGAAATAGGGA